CAGAAAAAAAAAGCTAACTCTAGTTATCTAGATGTAATTTTCTCTCGATCATCGTGGTTCACCCACAACGTCACTGTAAACTTGGCCTAACGTTACTGCATATAAATCTGGGATGAGGAACCCCAGACGCATGTTACGCGCCTTTTAACGGTCGTTCGGGAAATAGGAAAAAAGTAAATTTTTATTAATTTATCGCTATTTATAGGAAAATGAGAATCTCTCACTATTGGTGTACACTTTTTAAACCTTATATCAATTAGCCTATAGCCTACATAAAATGTTCTGTTCGAACCCAGCTACACCTGATTTTCAAAACCCAAAGGCACTTTTAAGAGCCAACCTCTATCTCTTCATCATTTTCTATCTCTATCTCTCAAAACCTCTCTGTCCATCTATCTTACGATCTGTATTTCTATCCATCTCTCAAATCTATGTCTTTATCTATCTCACAGTCTTTATCTATTTCATAATCTTTCCTCTCTGTCTGTCTTTTTCTTGTCTGTCTTATCCGAACTTTGTCAGTCCGTCTGTCTGTATCTGTCTGCGTTGCAATGGCCACCAAACATAAAATTGACTCACAGGATCCCCACTACCAAGAGGCATTGCTCTTGAACTGAAACCTGACCACATTCTAGCTGAAGCCATAATTAAGAAAAATATCCATATTTAAAACTTTATAAAGTAAAATAATTGGCCCCCGGCCAAACGAACATACGGATCCGACTTAAGTGTACAGCGCAACTTATGCGAGTAATGCTACATAGGCCTACTGCTGATATTTACGCTACGGCTACGCCATGACGCACTACGACTGCGTTTGGCGGGAAGCTAGCATTTTACTTTGTAACATATTCAATAGGAATATTTTTCTTACACAAACTCATGGCTTTAAATCAGAAGGCCTTTATTAACCCCCCAGCGCCGTGTGGAGTTTGTTTATAATGGATAGATGCACTTTTTTGAGCTTCAATCTGATGGTAGCAATGGTTCTCTTTCTAACATTCGTTCGGTATCTCACTATGGGAACGCCTCTGGGCGTGTCCGATCGCGGAAGCACCAATTACACCACGTCTGCCAACTATGGCAGACCAATCGCTGCAGCGATCAGGGAGTCCCGGCTCCCTGTATAAAAACGCAGCTACCTGCCGTTTCGTCATTCTCGCTCTCTTCCCCGTGGAAGATTTCGGAAGCTGTCCTCAGCAGACTTTGGGAATTATTTGCTTAACAGTTTTCAGACGGAGCCGACAGGTAACGTCCCAAACGCTATATTTCCTTAGGTCGTTGAGTGACTTCGTCACTTAAGAGTACGATAACTAACGTGTCAAGACGAGTTTTCTTGCTCTTAAGTCCTCTATCTTTTTCCAAGTTTTTCTGGGCGCTTACCACGCACCAAAAGGACAAGGAAAACGACAGCTCTCTAATCGCAGCACAGCTCCGTACCAGTTGTCATGTTGGGTGAGAACTCACCGTACGAAGAGAGTGCTAGCCCCATCATGGCCACTGCGATAGAACCGGAGAGCCCCGGAGGGAAAGGTCGCCCTCCACATCCGTGTGCCTGTGGAATGTGGATTTCTGCTAAGGATGCACACGGCCTCTGCATATCCTGTCTGGGCGCTAAACACGCGCAGGCAGCGCTGTCCAACCCCGAGGGATGCCCGCACTGTGCTACGTTCTCGATTAAGACCCGAGAAAGAAGGCTCCGCGTGGCAGTCGGTGGAAAATCGGACCCATGCCTCTCTGCTCAACCCAGAGAGGAACCCATGGATTGTACCCGGACCACCACCTCATGGGCAGAGATGATGGAGAAGGTTTCTCCCGTCCTTCACCCGCTGTTCGATGATCCGTTAGCGGGTGAGGAAGATGACGATGATGAAGTGTTGTCGAACATCCTCGAGGACGAGGACGACGATGACGAAGATGCCATTCTTCCCCCGAACCAGTCCAGGCCGCCGAGCGCACAGGATGAGAGTTCATCCTCCCCTGTACAGACGGATTCGGATCTAATCGAGGTCTGTCGCAGGGCCGCGGCTAGATTATCGATCGACTGGCCTTCCCAACAGACAGGTCAAGGGGCTGAAAGAGACCTGTACGATGGAAAGAGACTTCCGTCACGTCTCCCGCCAGCAAGGCAGTTCATTCCGGCCGTCCCGGCCTGTGTGACGGAGATGAAGAAGTTTTGGGACAAGCCTTTTTCTCACCGAGTGCCCGTCAAGGGTTTCTCGAGGCTTGATGTTCAGGGAATGGAGGATCTTGGGATGGCAGATCCTCCCCCGGTGGAAACTTCAGTGGCAAATCACTTGCACCCGGGCCGCAGGGCGGCGCTCTCTTCAACCGGAGCGTCGCTGCCAGGGAAAACAGAGCGCTTCGCCGCCTCTGTTTTTCAGAAGATCTATAAATCAACTGCACTGTCCGTCCGTGCTTTGAACGCGACGTCCCTCCTAACAGCCTATCAAGCGGAGCTTTTAGAGGAGATGGGTCGTCAGCTGGATTCCGGATCTCCCAACCCAGTGCTCTGGGAGGAGATATGTGTCATCGCAGATTTGAACCTGCGCACGTCCCGCGGAGCAGTTCAAAGTTGCGGACGGAGTATGGGCTTAGCAGTAGTGGGTGAGAGATCGCTGTGGCTGGGCTTGTCAGGGCTCTCTGAAAAAGAGAAGGCAGAGTTTCTGGATGCTCCGATAGATCCAAAAGCCATGTTCGGCGCGACAGTAACGGCGATGCGGCAGCAGTGTGACCTGCGAAAGAAGGAGGGAGAAGCTTTCCAGGTCTGTCTCCCCAGAAAACCGGCGGCTCGGCCTTATCACCCGAACCGGCCGAATTTCAGACCGTCAGGCAGAGGAGGGCACCCAGATTATCAGCCTTCCCGCTCTGCCCCACCACAACAGCCGAGCAACACGGCCCCACAACCAAAACCAGGTTTCGTTAGACCTAAACAGTCTTTCGCGGCCGCAGCAGCGAAACACCGATCGCCCGCCCCCCAGGGGAACAAGAAGAGGCGGTCGACCTGATACGTCAGTTCTGCATCAGGAAGGGTTGGGAGACAGCACCCAGGGTTTCTCTGTCCCATCCCTTCAGAACGATTCCTCTCTCCCTCCCGCGGGGAAAAGGAGAAGGTTTTCAGAGGTGAAAAGTGTTTGTGTGGACAGTTCAGAGTCCAATGTGTGCGGGAATGTGGCCACCGTTCTGCTAGTGCCCCCCAAGAGATCATCTCCCCCTCCACCTTCGAGGTCTGTTACAGGGGAAGAAGGTCTAACGTTCACAAGCAGTTGTTTAAAAATAAATTTTCCTCTGACGCATCCAGGTCTAAGACCGAGGGCGCAGAATGTGAAAAAAAGAGAAAAAGTTCACAAGAGAATAAAACAATCACAAATAAAGACCAATATAACTCCGTCACTGGAGCGGTCTTCCCCCCCTCTGCCGCTAGAGTGTGCTGCGGCACCTCTAGTGAGCGAAGACGGGAAGGGCCCACTCGCTGCTCAGACGGTGAACTGGCGCGCATGCGCAGTTCATCCCTGGGTATTAACCACTGTAGAGAGGGGATACAGGCTTCAATTCGCTGTAAAACCTCCTCTGTTCAACGGAGTGGTAATTTCAGTGGCCAAAGGGGAAGCAGCTCTGGTTTTAGAGGAAGAAATAACCTCTTTAATGAGAAAGGGAGTTATAAGAGTGATTCCAACGGAAGAGAGCCACAAGGGTTTCTACTCCCGTTATTTTGTGATTCCCAAGAGAGGGGGAGGTCTCCGTCCCATTCTGGATTTACGGGTCCTCAACAGACACCTGAGAAAATACAAATTCAAAATGCTGTCTATCAGAACGTTGTGTCAAAATATTCGGCAAGGAGACTGGTTCACCTCGGTGGATCTCCAGGACGCATATTTTCACATAGATATTTTTCCTGCGCACAGGAAATATCTGAGGTTCGCCTATCAGGGCACAGCATACGAGTACACGAGAATACCTTTTGGCCTAGCTTTAGCGCCTCGAGTATTCAGCAAATGTGTAGAAGGAGCCCTGACTCCGTTGAGGAGATCAGGGATCAGAATTTCGTCATATCTGGACGATCTGCTTATCTGCGCGCCGTGCCGACGGCAGGCAGAGAGCGATACACACACACTAGTGACGCATCTGGAGAGATTAGGTTTCAAGATAAACCAAGCGAAGAGTTGTCTATCTCCTTCTCAGGAAATTGTCTACCTGGGTCTCAGGTTGAATTCTGTGACGTTTCGAGCGTTCCTATCAGAGGATCGTATCAAGACTTTTCACAGCTGCCTCGCTCTTTTCCAACGAGGGAGATCAGTCTCTTTCAGGATGTGTCTTCGGCTACTAGGTCTGATGGCCTCAACTGTGTCAGTGGTTCCCCTGGGGCTGTTACGTATGAGAGATTTTCAGAACTGGACAGCGTCACAGGGCATCCGCCCCGAGAGCCGCCTCAGCCGCAGAGTGCGCGTCTCACTGGAATGCACGAGCGCTCTCTGTCATTGGAGAGTCCCGTCTTTTCTCAGGACAGGATGCCCTCTGGGTCCGATCGTACTGAGAAGAGTGGTGACGACGGATGCATCGCTCACAGGCTGGGGCGCAGTGCTCGAGGGCAGGACAGTGAGAGGAGTTTGGTCTCCCGCACTAAGAGAAAAGCACATACATTTTCTAGAGCTACTGACAGTGTTTCTAGCTCTGAGACATTTCGTGCATTTTCTAAAGGATCATCACGTATTGGTCAGGACAGACAATACGACGGTGATAGCCTACATAAATCGGCAGGGAGGAGTGCGTTCTCAGACGCTTCACATGGTAGCGAAGAAACTGATTATGTGGAGCAACAGGACCTTCCTGTCTTTACGCGCGACGCATGTCCCGGGGATAATGAACAGGGGAGCGGATCTATTGTCCAGAGGGAATCCCCTGTACGGGGAGTGGCGACTCCACCCCCAGGTGATCCTCATGTTGTGGCAGAGATTCGGCCAGGCTGCCGTAGATCTCTACGCATCGCGTGAAGACGCACAATGTCCCCTGTTCTTCTCTCTGGTCGGCGACGATGCACCATTGGGTGTGGATGCGCTAGCCCACGAGTGGCCAGACGTGTTACTGTACGCGTTCCCTCCGTTAAGCTTGATCGAGCCGACACTACGGAGGGTTCGGGAGCGCGGACATGTGTTAATTCTGATCGCGCCGTACTGGCCGGGGAGACTGTGGGTTGCGGAGATTGCGCAACTGCTCTACGACCAGCCTTGGCAGTTACCAACACGCAGGGATCTCCTCTCACAAGCACGGGGAGAAATATTCCATCCCTCCCCTCAGAAGTTAGCTCTCTGGGCCTGGCCCGTGAGAGGTTGAATCTGTGTGCAGCCGGATTACCTCCAAGGGTTATTGAGACGATTCAGAACGCGAGGGCGGCCTCGACTCGTTCTTTATATAACCTAAAATGGAGAGTCTTTGAGGAATGGTGTGCAGATAAGAACATTGTCCCGTTCTTGTGCTCTGTTTCAGATGTGCTGTGTTTTCTTCAAAACCTCCTGGATAAGGGCAGAGCTTTTTCCACGGTGAAGGTTTATCTGTCCGCCATATCGGCATGTCATGTTGGCATCGATTCGGCTACCATGGGTCAACACCCTCTAGTCTGTCGTTTTATGAAAGGTGCACGTAGGTTACACCCAGTATCAAAGACGCTGGTCCCGCCATGGGATTTGTCTGTGGTCCTGAGCGCGCTCTCAAAAGCCCCGTTCGAGCCCATTGATAGCATTGCCTTAAAGCTGCTCGCTTTAAAAACGGCTCTGTTACTTGCTCTTACAACAGCAAAAAGAGTGAGTGAACTACAGGCGTTATCAGTTCACCCTTCATGTATGAAGTTCGCTCCGGGTGGTCAAAGAGCTTATTTCAAAACTAACCCGGCGTTCGTGCCCAAAGTATATGATCACGCGGATACCGTAAGAGCAGTGGATTTGCCAGCTTTTCATCCTCCTCCTTTTTCTTCTCCAGAAGAGGAGAGGTTACACTGTTTATGTCCGGTTCGCACGCTGTACAGTTATGTACAGAGAACCCACTCATTGCGTAAGAGCAACCAGCTATTTGTCTCATGGGCTGACTCTTACAAGGGAAAACCTATTTCCCGTCAACGCCTTTCTCATTGGGTGGTGGAGGCTATTGGTTTATGTTACAGAAGCATGAATATAGAGCCACCAGTAGGGCTAAGAGCGCATTCTACTAGGGGGATGGCTACATCCTGGGCTCTATTCAAGGGTATTTCTATTCAAGAAATTTGCGCGGCGGCCAGCTGGTCCTCTCCGCACACATTTATCCGTTTTTATAGACTGGATGTTACGGAACCCTCTCTGGCACACTCAGTTCTGGGAGTAAGTAGTCAGGAGGAGGTTTAGATGGTTTCAATAAGGGGGCACCTGTCCCCATATCATTCTGTTTTTCTTCCGTCTGGGATCATGATTCAGTATTATTATATCCCCTCTTCTTCAGTCTGCTTCGTCAGCATATCGCCAATACGGGAGTTGTCTATATCCCATAGTGAGATACCGAACGAATGTTAGAAAGAGAACGATAGGTTACTGACGTAACCCCGGTTCTCTGATAACATGAAGTGAGGTATCTCACAACATTGCCCTCCTTGCCTTTTCGCACGGAGAAGAGATATGCGGAGAATGACGAAACGGCAGGTAGCTGCGTTTTTATACAGGGAGCCGGGACTCCCTGATCGCTGCAGCGATTGGTCTGCCATAGTTGGCAGACGTGGTGTAATTGGTGCTTCCGCGATCGGACACGCCCAGAGGCGTTCCCATAGTGAGATACCTCACTTCATGTTATCAGAGAACCGGGGTTACGTCAGTAACCTATCGTTACAAACCACTGCCATTATAAAGCTCGGAAACGTCAGGAACACAACTCCAAATGTGTATGTCTGAAAGAAGAAAGTTATATACACCTAGGATGGCTTGATGGGCTAATTTTCCTTTTAAAGTGAACTACACCTTTAAGCAAAAAAATTGTAATTGTGAGCCTCGTAACTTACCTGCACAGTGGTTTGAGCTCAATGAGAAATCACTGAAGAAATCACCCAATCGCAAAGCGGACTGGCTCCGTCTCCATAGCAACGGATGCTGAGGATCATGAGTCAAGCTGGCGTCCACTAATTAATTAAATTAAATATTTTTTAATTCATATCCAAAACTAATCCCCCGTTCTCACAATCGAAGGAGAAACGATGCAAACTGATGGTCATAACGGTCGATAAGGCTCATGGGTACTAGTATTTAGGCTACTTAGATTTGACACCAAACCGATGGAAAAACAGTATTTCTCAAAGAAGAAACAGCAACATTTAGAAGTGATGGCCGTGGCACAACTCTGCAGTCTCATTAATTAATGGGGAGAATATATTTACTATATTTTGACTGGAAGGAACCACTGATGATGGTTTACAATGGTGAATATCCTACAGAATATAAAGCAATAGCAGAGGCTAATGAAATATACAGCTATTGGACTCAACGAGTCATGGAATTGCTTATCAAACAAAATTCACATTAAGACGCCAAATCCAAAATGCTACAAAGCAGCAAAACACCTTTAATGATGTGAACATGAATTTCAAACAAATAGTAAAAACAAATTCATGTTAAATTAGAACTTTAAAAGCTTTTTGTTGATTTGACAGTGAAAATGAAAATAGTCAAACAGATATTTTGCTTATAAAAAAAATTGACTCAAAACCACAGAAGGTTTGCAAAACTATTTTATTTACAAGTCAAAATGGCTCAAAAGCGGCCACAGTTTATGCTCATGCAAACCGTGGACAATTTACTGTAGTGCGACGACGTGGTGTGAGGAGCCGACAGGCAACTGTATCCCTCCTCTGCATAGAAGACAATGTACAGGAGATCTCATGGAGTTTATTACACATCAGAAGGTGACGGATCCTCACTGCCTGGTGTCTACAACCAGACACAAATGATGCGTGATGTGAACGTGTGGCGTTCTAGAACTGCTTGCCAATCTGTGTGTTGGCACTACATCATTATAAGGCTTTAAGCTCTATGATACAAGGCAAGATGACAGCAGCCTCAGAGATCTGCATTACATGCTATCAAACATGACTAACCAAGTGTCCTTCACTTAAAGCTGAAGCATGACAAAAAGAAACAAGCATTCTCATGAACGAAACGGGGTGCAGATCAACCACATTATTAGAGATTACTTTCAATTCATTATTGATTCAAGCAATTAACTCCGCAAATAATGGAAAAGTTCACTCTGAAATGAAAATTCTGATATCATTTACTCACCTTTCTGTCATTCTAACACCACATGACTTTCTCTGAAGCCACATGATAAGTTGTAATAGAAAAAAAGCTGTAACATTTTACAATAAGGTTCCATTTGCTCACATTAGTTAACTACATTAGTTAAACATGAACTAACGATAAAAAAATAGCATTTCGTAAACTTGAACCAACAATGAACAGTTGTATTTTTATTAACTAACTTTAAGATCCATAAATACTAGAACAAATGTATTCAATTATTAACTAATGTTATCTAATGGGACCTTATGTAAAGCGTTACCCAAAAAAAGCTTTCAAATCTCATTCATGCATATTTAGACTTAGCTTGATGTTTGTTCGATGTTTGTTTTATTTACGGTGCTTTTGCGTTAGCGCCAAATGCTAACGGTTGCTGCATTTCTCATGAATGATTGCAATACGTCATTTGAAGGTTTTGAGTTATTGTACAGTTTCAAGATACAAGTGGTGAGGAATATTTTTTTGAAATTCCTAGAGCTCTACAGCCCAGACCTTCTTTGATTGAAAAAGAGCAGCTTGGACATTCCACTAAACATCTTCCTTTTGCATTCGCCAGAGGAAATAAAGTCATACGAGTTGAGTGAATAATGACAGAATTTTCATTTTTTGGTGACCTATAGTCCTCTAAGCCAGAGGTCTTCAAACCTAATCAAGCTCTTCAGGATAACTTGAAAAACACATTGGGGTGAAATTCAGTTGTGCTGAAGCAGGTTAGATACACACTTTGCAGGACAGTGGGTCCCCGGGAACAGGGTTGAAGACCTTTGCTCTAAGCAGTGGGTAATACAGGAATGGTTAGAATTAAATGCAGAACATCTTCTAAAATGCTGTTTGCCCTCACTCACTAGCAAATATGTACACTTTCAACTACATACTACGACACATTTAAAATATCAGAGGGCCTTTTGAGAACTTTGAGAACCGCCTTTGGAGCCACGACCCAACCCATCTCACAGTGCGGCATTACAGCCCTGTAACATCTGCAACTCTTGAATATTCAGTGTATTTTCAGATAAGACAGGAAACGAAAGAGGACGAGGGCAGGAATGCAGGATCGGAGATAAATGTGGATGAAGAGACAGGAAGAGGGAGTGTGGAGTGAAGGACCGCAGCAGGTATCAGCCTGCCAGTTTGCTGGCCACCAGAGAGGGTTTCCTCTGCGGCAGGTCCTGAGGGGTGGGGATGTGGTCTCCGGTGATCTCGGCCTTCTCTGTCTGTGCCACTGGAAGCTGCTTGTTCTTGGTCTTGGCCTTCGCCATGTTGTAGTCGCCCGAGTCAAAGTATTTCGGCTGGGAGAGAAAGCAGTCGAGGAGAATTTGTTTGCACGAGTGAATTATGGCACAGGAAATGTTTTATTTATTTTCCAAATCACTTTGAAAGATGTTACACTGGAAATACACAAACATATTCATGCCACTGAATAGGAATGAAACAATGTTTAACAAAAACTAGACTGCCAAATAGAAAATTATCTGAACACATTTTAATGTCATGAGCAACACGGTGGGTGTCACTTTGCTCCCAATAAAGGCCTATCAGAGGCGTTTGTCTATAATATCGGTCAAAAGTTCAGATTTAAGATTTTGACATTTTTTTAAAGATGTTTCTTGTGCTCAACAAGGCCATTTCAAATAACTGTTTCTATTTGAATATATTATAAAATATAATAATTTATAACTTTTTTTATCATTATTCCAGTCTTCAGTGTTACATGATCCCTCAGAAATCATTCTAATATGCTGATTTGGTGGTCAAAAAACAGTTCTTATTATTATCAATGTTGAAAACAAGGTTTTGCTGCTTAATATTATAATATTATATACACTACCATTCGAAACGTTTTTTGTTGTTCTTTTTACATAATTTTATTCAGCAAGAACATTAAATTGATCAAAAGTGAGTAAAGACCATTATAAAGTTACAAAAGATGTCTATTTCAAATAAATGCTGTTCTTTTGAACTTTCTATTCATCAAAGAATCCTAAAAAACATTTGATCACATTTTCCACAAAAAAAAAAAAAATTAAGCGGCACATTTTTTTCAAATTTGGTAATAAAAAAACACTATAAATAATTGAGCACCAATAATAACAACTGATAAAAAAATGTAGCCCCAAATCAGCATTAGAATGATTTCTGAATGATTGCGAGACACTGAAGACTGGAGTAATGCTGCAAAATCAACTTCGTCAGCACAGGAATAAATTATATTCCCATTTTTACTATATATAGATCCATTAAATGCAGCCTTGTTGAGATAAAACACTTCTTATCAAAACATAAAAAAAACAAAAACAAATTCATAATCATCCAAACTTTTGACTGGTAGAGTATGTCCATGACCGAGTTTACTTTTCTCCTATCCGTAACACAGTTCCCATGCTATCTGTAGTTCATGACTCAGTCACATGATGCTGTGATGTTCCACTACTGTCAGTGTAAAACCACCAAAGACCTGTGATCTGCATCTCTTCTTATAACCCAGTGGTCTAAAAACAAAATAAAGTGGTTTTCATCCCACCAGCAGGAGTAGAAAGAAAGAATATGAATGAATCTCACCCCCTTCTGCAGTCTTTTTCTGAGCAGATCGGATCCTCCAGGTTTATTACCCAGGTGAGGGTATTTGGCCTTCAGTTTGGCTTCCTCCATTTTTTCTAGACAGATCTTATTCTCCTCATCCTGAGAGAAAACACACACATAACTCACATATTTAAATGCGATACATTTAGGCCATACTGGAACCATTTAAAAATATATCAAGGACTCGCATAGGGAAGTTTTTCTAAACAAAATTCTGAAATAATAAATCATAGATGGATCATGCCCGAGATCTTATTATAAGGAGATATCAAGCTCAACGAAAGTGTAGCTAACGGTCTAAATGAATCGCATTATAGTCTTGACGTTACAGAATTGAGTTGTGCGACAGTCTATAGGTGAGTTCGACTTAATGCAGCTCCGCGCAGACCGATCGGTGCCTGACAAATGCAAAGCATTCTGGTTAGCAAATGTCTCTGGACTTGTTTGTTTCTGTTTGCAATAGCCCTACTGTTCTGTAACATGGTATGGTATAGCCGTGCTGGGCAATGCTGGGAAAATGGCGCTACCCTCTCGTTCACTGATCCACTCCCTGCTATTTGCTCACATGCTCTGATAATAATAGCTTTGTAGAGCTATACTTTATTTTGATATTTGGTTAAAATCAATCTGTTAAATCTCATTCTGTTGCATAGAACTGAATGATGAATAATATATTGATATCTTAATATTAATATATTGATACTTAGGCTAATATTTTAATATAGGCCTTTCTGTCAAATCTTATCTTTGTTACTTTAAATAAAAGTGTGTTTTTTATTGTATTGACTTAGCCTGGCTAACGTCAGACCCAAGTCTCATTGACCTTGGGTCTGGGAACCACGTTCATTTTCTCGTATTTGAGGCGTGGTTTACGAATGCCCAGAGCCGTTTATTGGGTGCTAAGAATGTCTATCAAATGCGCCTGTACGTAGCTCATAGCCAATCGTTTCAATTATACCAGATGACGCATGTAGAGCGACAGAAATTAGACGAGGAAGAAGACGATGGCCGTTTCTCAATATGCGTTCTTGGCTGCGTTCCAGTCCAAAATTGTCATGCCCTTCACTCGCTAACTTCCCTCCGTCTCGTTCACTCGGATGTACGTCATTGCTTACGTTGCATGAGTGCCCACTACTGGCGGAAACTGCAATGGGCTGAACTGGAACGTCCTAAGCCCTTGATCACTTAGAATCAGCCATAAAGTTGATTTATTATTTAATTTTTTTTTAAATGTTTAATGCAGCATCCAAATGTATATAGGTGTGTTTGGGTTGTTTTAAATTAAAAAAATATATAATTAATATATCAGAGTTGGTTGTGGTGGTGGTGATTAGACGAGATCTGCGGTGACGTCACAATTGTGTTGCATTGTGGTATATGGAGCTGCCTGAAGTGTACATATGAAGTAGACTCGCTCCCTCGGCCAAAATCGAGGGAACAAGTGTCTGTCCATATAAACTTCCCTCGTCCACTTCACGAAGTGGAACGCACTTCAAAATGGCGGCAGGGATTCCCCCGAGGGTAAGTGCTTAGGGAAGTTCGCAAGTGCGTGTCTAAAAGTGGACTGGAACGCAGCCCTTGTCATGTTCTTGTGGACTTGTGAAACGTCAGTCACTGCCCAAGTACTGTTCCAATTGACCTATGGCTAAGCACGCCCCCAAATGCGATGAGCCAATCAGTGCACAATACATAGCTAACCCAATACACTCGGACATTCTCTGCTTCCACGTCCATTGAAATGCATTGCAGTTAGTCAGTTTTCATCCGTTGTTATATGTTTTTTCTTGTCATTTTAAGTTTAAAATGGTCAAACGGTGTGCATGGGGAACATGCAACTCCGACACTAGGTATCCCGAGAGGCTGGGCGACGGTGTGTATTTTTTACCCTTTCCCAAGCCACATCTCAACCGAGATAAGTGTCTGCTCTGGATTAAGTTATGCGGTAACGTTAGACCACAACACAAACTAAACGTGGATAAATTAAACAAGAATTAAACAAGGATGTCTACATCTGTTCTAAGTCAACAGTGTATTTGAACGTTATCTTTAACATCTCTAACGTAACATTAGCTTAAAACGTTAACGTTAGCTTCTAGCTGCGTTGTATATCATGTCACTTAGCTTCATTAACGTATCTGTAAATAACCGAGATAACAAATGTTAGCAATGTTGTGCTGAATGATTCATGTAAATAATGCAGTGCATGAACAATGCTGATCCTCTATCTTGTTGTCTGAGATGGTGATGGCATTGAGATGCGGTTTACACTGTGACCTGTACATTTTTGCCTGGAGCTGAAGCTTTTCATCGACCTTCTCAACAATAAAATTATTAATATAACCCTCAAATGCATAGTTAATGCCCTTTTGGTGACTTCGAGTCGATATATAATCTTTCTGTCTCCAAAAATCATCAATTGCCTCCTGTGAAATGTCTCCTACTGTGACAGCTGCCATAGCGCCCGTCACCGAATGTTGACTGTTTGTCCGAGTGAGTGGAGGGGGTGTGCCATAGGTCAATTCAAAGTTCACATCTAGACAAGTCCAGTTCAAATCCCCGGATGTGTTCTTGATCCGCCCCGTTTACCGAGGATGCATCGAGAGGTGACTTGTCCGGACTTGAGACAGCCAGGTATCCCAGAATGCATCTCGCACCAACCACCAAGCGTCAATAGCAGAGGAAAAACCCCGCGTAATATCAAAATACTACTGTTATTGTGTCATGAAATGTAATTTTAAGAGTGTTTCAGGCGAGAATGTGGTTGTTTAAAGCTCAAATCTGTGGTTTATTTATAAAGATAGCGCCTATTTGAAAAATGTATCTGACGTTTTCGAAGTTGTGACATCCAGGCGTTCACCGCGGGTGTTCAACGCTCATCAACCCCGACTGGAACAGCTTTTCCTCGGCTAGTGCTTCTGACGTTTGCCGCTGGCTCTGATGTCTCTAGTCAAGTGGATAAACATGACGTATAATTCGTCTTGTGTATAAGTCGATCTTTGGTCTCATTAAACTGTTGTTTGTTCCATGGCAAAAAATCGTTTTGGCTGAGGGCAAAGTGAAGTTTCATAACTTTATATATTTAGGCTATTTAACTTTAACTTTGTAGCCTATTAGAGAGCTTACTTATGTTTGAATTGTTTGCCTTATTTATCCATTGTAGATATTATTGATCATTAAAACTGACATTTAACAAAAAGAGACAGGGTTGTGTAATTTTATTTTATATACTTTAATATATATATATATACACACTCTCACCTAAAGGATTATTAGGAACACCCGTTCAATTTCTCATTAATGCAATTATCTAATCAACCAATCACATGGCAGTTGCTTCAATGCATTTAGGGGTGTGGTCCTGGTCAAGACAATCTCCTGAACTCCAAACTGAATGTCAGAATGGGAAAGAAAGGTGATTTAAGCAATTTTGAGCGTGGCATGGTTGTTGGTGCCAGACGGGCCGGTCTGAATATTTCACAATCTGCTCAGTTACTGGGATTTTCACGCACAACCATTTCTAGGGTTTACAAAGAATGGTGTGAAAAGGGAAAAACATCCAGTATGCGGCAGTGCTGTGGTCAGAGGAGAATGGGCCGACTGATTCAAGCTGATAGAAGAGCAACTTTGACTGAAATAACCACTCGTTACAACCGAGGTATGCAGCAAAGCATTTGTGAAGCCACAACACACAACCTTGAGGCGGATGGGCTACAACAGCAGAAGACCCCACCGGGTACCACTCATCTCCACTACAAATAGGAAAAAGAGGCTACAATTTGCAAGAGCTCACCAAAATTGGACAGTTGAAGACTGGAAAAATGTTGCCTGGTCTGATGAGTCTCGATTTCTGTTGAGACATTCAGATGGTAGAGTCAGAATAGGCTTTATGCACAGCTGCACTACTTCCTGAACTTCAGCCAGCTCCTTGTTTCCTGTCTGACATTATTGGACAAACTGATTAATCCAGGTGTGCCTCACCAGTAACAAATACCAGACACACCTGGGTTAATCAGTTTGTCCAATAATGTCAGACAGGAAACAAGGAGCTGGCTGAAGTTCAGGAAGTAGTGCAGCTGGGCATAAAGCCTATTTGGCGTAAACCGAATGAGAACATGGATCCATCATGCCTTGTTACCACTGTGCAGGCTGCTGGTGGTGGTGTAATGGTGTGGGGGATGTTTTCTTGGCACACTTTAGGCCCCTTAGTGCCAATTGGGCATCGTTTAAATTCCACGGCCTACCTGAGCATTGTTTCTGACCATGTCCATCCCTTTATGGCCACCATGTACCCATCCTCTGATGGCTACTTCCAGCAGGATAATGCACCATGTCACAAAGCTTGAATCATTTCAAATTGGTTTCTTGAACATGACAATGAGTTCACTGTACTAAAATGGCCCCCACAGTCACCAGATCTCAACCCAATAGAGCATCTTTGGGATGTGGTGGAACGGGAGCTTCGTGCCCTGGATGTGCATCCCACAAATCTCCATCAACTGCAAGATGCTATCCTATCAATATGGGCCAACATTTCTAAAGAATGCTTTCAGCACCTTGTTGAATCAATGCCAAATAGAATTAAGGCAGTTCTGAAGGCGAAAGGGGGTCAAACACAGTATTAGTATGGTGTTCCTAATAATCCTTTAGGTGAGTGTATATATATATATATATATATAATTATTTTAACATTCTCTTCACTATATGTACAATAAAATAAAATGACACAAACCTGTCTCTGATTGTTAAATGTCAATAAAAATCAATGTTTCATATTTTTAAAATGAAAACAAAAAGTTCATGTTCATGTTGTTATAAATATATGCAGTGAAGATAATGTACGCTTTGCCTGAACCACATGGCCAATAGGCTACTAGGTTTAAGATTTTTAAATGAAAAGAGGCAGAGTGGTGTTTTATAACATATTTCGCTTTATTGTTGACGAAAAGAGGCAGAGTTGTAGCATATTTCATTTTATTGTTGCCTAAAATACACATAAAGAGATAACCGGAGTGGCCAGAGCGTGCTGAGTGACGCGATCAAGAACGCACTGTTCCATTTGCAGAATAACTGGACCCGCGTCCTCTCGTCCTCGGGAGTTC